TCTTTCCCTCCTTATCCCTTTTTTTTTTTCTTCCCTCTTTTAAAGGGAGTGGGGAAAGAAGAAAGGATGGAAAAAAGGAAACATGCTAAAATCCTTCTTCTCTGAAAACTGCTGGGATCAATTTTGTGGCACTGAGGCATACCAGAAAAGTTACCCACTATCACAGCATGTTTTCACACGAGAAGTCCGTGCAAAGGAGCGGAAACGGACACTTAACAGAACAGCACCATCTCAACTGTGGGACTTCAGAAGGAGCTTTTACTCTCAGCCATCAACTGCCGAGCAGAAAGCACCTGATGGAAGGTCCCCCAGAAGATACTGGGACAGAGAAGATAACGTAGAACGGGGAGAAGGAGCTCTGCACGTCTCAGGGGTGCTTTCCAAATGCTTGCCCCAGGGGCAGCGTGTGTGCAGGCTACAGACGGTAGCCTGTGGTGCAGGCTACCAGTGCACGGGACCACGGATGAATTGCGCGTGACCTGCAAGTAAGGCAACAAAGGAGGACTGGACCACGCTGCCTGGGTCTGTCAGACCAGGCAGACACTGACAGATGGCGCTGAGAAGAGAGGTCAAATCATTGCTTGAGCTCTGAGATACAAGTCTGGATGGACAGCAGAGATGTCTACTGTCATGTGCTAGCAAATGTTGTTTGTCCTCAGCATTTAGGGGGGCCACAATTCTGTCTTCTACCAACTCAGAGGCTGGGAGAAGGGAACGAAGTATAGCAAAGACTCTCGTCCTCTCCCTTCAACCCTTGGCAATGCCTGCTGGGACCGCGAGGGTCGGTCAGCACAAGCACACTTTCTTTGGTTACTGTTGTTTAGCTGTCCACAGTCAGTAATAAAACACCACGGGCATAATATGCTGGTGCCAGAGCTGGAAAGACAGGAACAGCCAAGGTGAGAAGGGGCTGTTTCCATTACTGCCTTTTCAGTCAGGGGCAACTGTAGTTCCAAGCGACATCTGCTCATTACTGATGCTAATGGGAACATCATCACCTTGTTTTGGTGGAGATGGGCATCAGACCTTTCGTCTCATTCTGAGCACTCTCTGTAGAGGACCACCAATGCCAGCCCTCTACAAGCCATCCGTCGCATACTTTCCTGCAGCACCCGTGAAGGGAATGTGCTCTAGGATCTCCCTCTCAAACCTATAGACAACACTGCTTCCAATGTGCACCGAGTTTCTTCCATGAAATATGCACTCAGCTTTCACAAATGAACCCAGGGAACACACTATCAGCCAGAGCTCTGAAAGGGAAGAGCAGATGAAGCACATAAGCACCTCTTGCCTGGAAAAATCCCCAAAGAAGCAGACCTTGGGCTCAGAAAAAGCTAAAGAGTTTCATCTTACTCCCACAAGCAGTGAAAGCTTGAAAGGCACTAAGAGCACTATCTGGATCTGCTGCTAGACTTGGGTACTGCAGTCTCAGACTCCCGGGCCAAGGGGATACCAACAGAAACCACACAACACTGGGATTCGCATCACTTGTGCCCAAACAATTACACCAAGAGGTTCCACCTTCCCGTACACACACTTCTGAGGAAGCAGAACTGCATACTTACATTCTTCTTACGCTCCTTCCCATCTCATGGCAGGCACTGCCAGACAATACCCCAGCCAGAGCCTTTGCCCGATCCACCAGAACTGTTCTGCAGTTCTACAAACGCACATTTCATTTAGGTATCTGTTTGGTAACAGTCTTACCTGTGTTCTGGTAACTCGGCTGGTTTTATCTGGAAGTCTCCATTAACAACGATTTCGTGTGCCAATGCCATATTGGTCACTCCCTTAGCTGTTTCCATGAGCTCTTCTACCGACACAGGCCGAGGAGGACTAGCTGCAACATAAATTAAACTGTCAGACAGTTACCTATAAAAGCCTGTGGGAAAATGTCTGCTAATACTTTTGGACCTTTTCCACCTTCTTGACAGTACAAAGCACCAAAAGACAGTATTGTCTGCAGATTCTTCTTCCCTTCTCTTCCCAGCTGGCAGGTGACACAGGTTTGCAGTATTACAGAAAACAAAGGAGTGAACCCAAGTTGATGTTCTGGGCTCAGTATGTCAAGTGCTTCCAAGTTCCATCAAGCTCTTTTAAAAAACAAACCCAAACCTCATACCCAAATCCCCGCTTCTTCAGGATTGCTTAATATCATCTGTCTCTCTACTGTAGGGGGAAATCATCAAAAATGCTAGTATTTTCACTGCACTATTCCCCAAATCGTTGTGCAGACGCTGCCACTTCAATTTTATATTTTTCAAAGAAGTGACTTCATCTCCAAAGCTGTCAGCAAACAAACCACTGTTAACATTAAGCAATAACGTACTAGTAGCTCACTGTTCTCCCTACTTCTAGTGCAACTGGCACTTCTCCAAACTCTTTTTCCCCAGAGGCCATCATCCAAATGACAAAGAACGTCAAGACCTAGTCGCAGCACCAAAGCCTAAGACTTCTTCCTCTGGCAGACATTTGGGACTGACAAGGATGAAGAAGCAGCTTCAAATTGGGCCCCAGGGCATACAAGCAAGGAGGAGGAAGCGCCAAACCTGAGAAAAGAGGCCAGTTTTGGTTAGGCAGGAGACAAAGGTAGTGGCTGACTGCAGAATCTAGAAGGTAGAAGAGGGACAGGGACAGTTTCAGAAAACTTAATTTGCTTCCTGGATGCAGTGAAGATTACAGTTCCTAACTGTTCTGGGCTATATACCATCCTCCTGGGACAATACTGGCATCACAGTACTGCAAGAAGCTTCACAGCCCTAAAACCACGTCAACAGAAAGGCAGAGAAGGTGCCAAGGGTGGAGGGGGGGAAACCCATCCCCACTGAAGCCAACTGAAACCTGTTGCCACTGATTCTTTGTGGTAAAGATTCCCCCTAGCTGTGCCACCATCAGTGCAAGCAGCACGTGTGGGTGCCTTGGAATGCCTTGCCTAAAGTTAGGAGAAACCGCAGCTCTTCCCTGGTCCAAGTATTTGAGAAAAAGGGGAAAGGCATCAGCATCCTCAGGTGAGGCAGACAAGAATGGCAAGGGCCATCTGGGCTCCTCCAGAAAACATCTGCTGGAGCAGAAGTGGGAGAAGGAGCCACAACAAAATGGCCCTAATAGCTCGATTCCTCTCTGTCGTTCATTCACTCCTGTCTGGGCACAGGAGCGCCATACTAATGCTCAAAATGAAAGCAACCAACCAGGGATCTTCATAGGCTGGGTTCAACGAGATCTGTTTTAGGCAAACTCTTGTGTCTGCCTCATTTGATAATCCAGTTTGATTGGACTTAAACTAGTAACAGAGAAAGGCCCTTTAAAGTAACTGCCCATCACTTGCCTGCCATTCAAATATTCAAGTATAAACAGTATGGTTCCAAAGTGCTCATTTTCCATTATCATCTTGCTCTTTTCATGCTCTTGAACCCTTATTTCCTTCTGTTTGGAGCTTAATCTTGCAGTGACCCTGGGAACACAGCAAGGACTGATATTCTGAGAAGAACTATCTGGACAACCCAGTTCACAGCTGAATGAGAGTGCTCTTGTCCGACTGCCAAATGACTTCACCCTAGCAGTGGATGCACTAAAAGCTAAGGCTCTTTCATTTACCAAAGAATGCTCTTAAATCACAACACTTCATTCTCACGTTACATCTGCTCCCTTACAAGAAGGGGGGGAGGTGGTGAGACCAATGACTTCTTTGTGATACAACGCGGTGCAAGACCCCGTGATGCCGTTCACTGTCACGTGCTCGCAGCCTCTCTCCATACACAGGCACCCAGCGTGACGTAAGAACATAAACTCCCTCAGAACATCTCCTCTGTGTGACATGACACTAAACCTCAGGTAATAACGAACACTACGAAACAGTAAAAAGGATGCAGCAAATAAAAGGTTACGTGCTGAGGCACTCTCTAGAGAAATCTGGAGCAAGCTATCTGAGCAATTCTGCCTCTTTGAAATGAATCCCTGGAACCAGAAAGCTTCCCCTTGGTTTTATCTATAGATCTGCCAGAAATAATCGCTACCCATATTGCATCCAGCATCTCACGTTAGAAGCAGAATGACAAAGAAAAATATGCCTTGGCAATAAACTCAAAATACGCAATCCTGCCTGACACTAGCAGTAGCATTAGGACAAAATACACAATTTTCCATCTGTCTTGGGAGGGGGGCGACAGGACATCACTTTGTTGCTAACAGCCTTCCTTGCCCTGCAGCAGAAACCAAGGCTGCAACAGTGCAGAAGGTTCGGCTGAGAATGCGAAGAGCAGCAACAGCTCGGCTAGAAGATGCTGGAGCAGTGCTTATCCTTCCCGTGAGCGCGGGCATGCCAAGGGTTCCAAGAGATACGTGGCTCAGAGCAACATGGTGCTTGTGAACAATGAAGTACTAAAACAAGAGGGGGAGACAGGTGTTACAAACACTTCAAAGCAAACGATCAGGTCACACGATATTTAATTGCAAAACAGTCAAACCTGCACCAAATGCTACAAAACATCATCATTGGCTCCACCAAAACATTATAAAATTTACTCTTTTTTTAATATATATATACAGCAGTTTTGCTTACACTTTGGTGTGTCATCTGTGTGTGACCCTGGAGCACTCTGCCGTATTCTTTTTCTGATAGACTGATCCGGGTTGTCCAAGCTCTCCTCTTGACCATCCTCCAAACCACTCAGCTTTCCTTCACTTGAATGTGGCTTGTCAGGATTCTGAGACATTTTCAGTTGGTTCTTTTCAGAAGAAGAAAAAAAAAAAAGGTAATGAATAAGCACTTTCTGACATGACTGGGTGGGAAAAAATCACTAGGGATTCTCCTGATTAAGAAAAAAGAATAAAAGGAATCATATGAGGAATGACATGATGTAATTCCCATAACGGTAAGGGGCCTGGACGCAGTGGATCACTTCCCACCTTACACAGAACTGGATGCTTTCAACACAGCTACCGTTTACTTAATGGTTTACTCTGCATTCTGAGCAAATTCTCAAAAATCTGAATCTGTTTCCTCACCACAGAGCACACATATGAGAGAGAAAAATAGATTGAATTTTCTTTCTTAGCACTGCCTAGGAGAAAGCAGGGAAAACCATCTCAGAATACTACTACAAATATGTTTCAGAAAATGATTATGCCAGATGAGACATTTCCCCACTATGTAACGACAAAGCTTTCTGAACATAACAAACGCCTGAACAATGATCAGAACTTAACCGCTGCTCAGAACTTAAAAGTTTTCACTCTGAACCATCCAAATGCATTAAGAAGCAGGAAAAGGACTAGAGATAAAATGAATACAAAATTCTACTCCCGTATTTTCATTCCATGCAAAAGTCATGATTTATGCATAAAATACCAGGATTATTTTTAAAAATTAAGGAAGTAGAGAACATAGTTATAGTATTTAAAATACAAGTTAATTAAAATTAGATATTAAATAATATTTATATTATGTCACCGATACACTCAGTTACACTGAGAAAAGTGACCATTAGAAAGCATGTCTCAACATTAATGGTCTTCACTTATTTCATACTCAGATTTCCCTCTGAAGAATGTCATTTCCACATGTAACCACTGAAAACTCTCTGTCATACAGGAAGCTACTCTTGGACTTGAGTTTTACAGAAATCTATTAGAGAGCATATGATGTCTCGACTCAGTCAAATAACCTGGATGTCCCGTGAAGTGGGAAGTCAGGAGCCTGCCTTTCAAAAAACAGAAGAAAGTTCCTGGAAGAACAACAACTTCCTCTTTCACCTCATATCCCACCATCCCCACTTGCAAAATTTGAAAGAAAGAAGCTGTCAGCAAGAGACGCAGCCTCCGGAGGCATCTCACAGCTACTAGGAAAAAATACTGGCAGCGTCCAAGACTACACCGAAGAGGATGCAACAAAAGCAAGCAACAGTATAGAAATACAAAGCACAGCACTGGGATTTTTTTTACTTTCGTGCAACAGCTGCAGTAAGTAACCCTACTCCATCACTGCTTAAATCAGTTGCGCCAATGCAATGGTACGGGACGGCTGGAAAGCTCAGTGGATGTAAGAAATGGTTTTGCTCTCCAGCAGTGACTCAGGATCATCATTTTGCTAGACGCAAGAGAGAGACAGCAACACACAACACCGGTCCACAGCCCCGTGTGATTTCTAGTTTAGAAAACAAAGCATAAAAAGCATGGGATAAGTTACACAGGAACACTCAGACATCAGTACAGGTATTGACAGACCCATATATTAGCCCCCACCTCTAACTGGAACAGTCATTGATGTCCCTCCCCAAAAACTTGATCATCTCCCCGTTGAGGCACACAGACAACCCCAGCTGGGACAAGAAAGCAGCAGCCTGCACAGAGCTGCAGTCACTGCCACCCTCCTAACTGAGGCAGAGAGCGCCTCCAGCTAGGTGTAACCCAAACCAGCACCCAAGTGTGAGACCAGCGGGAAACCACTGGTGGGAAACCCGTGGGGTGCTCCAGGAGAAGTGGACCTCCAGTCTCTAGGGGAAAAGGTCTGTTGTTGCAAACACTCTGGCAGCAAGAGGACAGTAGCTCTGTTAGTAAAGAAGCAGTTAATAGAAAAGATCAGAGCAACAGTTGCAATAGAAATTGTAACATCAAGCTGGTTAAAGAGAGGAGGGAAACGTGCTTTGAATTTGACTAGAATAAAAGTCTTATCCTGAAGGCTTCCACGTTCATTCAGCCAGATTAGACAGCTGTTCTTCCTAGCCATTCTCTTCCACAAAGCAAGTCAAAATGTGAAGCACAAAGCTGACTCCACCAAGATCCACTTAGGTCCTTAATGCACATGACACAGTGCCTTGCAATCTCTCTGTGCACTTTATCCTTGCTGCCCTTAGAAAAGCAGGGAAATATTATAATGTATCTTACTTAGAGGAAACTGAGGTTTAAGTTGCTTGAGGACTCACAGAAGATAAACGACAGGGCCAAGACGACAATCAGTCTCGTGATTACCATGCCAGCTCTGCCCACCAGGCCCATCATTCCTACCACACAGTCTACAGCCCAAAGTATCACGTTGCACAGAACGGCAGATCGTGAGCTACAGCCTCAAAATGAACAATTCCATTTAAATATCACTTGTTTAAAAAAAAAAAAAAAAATCCCATTTCAGCTGTGGGAAGTGGGTACAGGGAACTCCTGGGCCATTCTACCACTTCAGCAGATGAGGTAAACAGGCACCCGTGTTGGTTTCGTTGTTTAGTTTGCAACCGTCTACTCTTTTCTACTGGATTATGGCTGTTATTTCCCAGAACACATCTAGAACAAACCCTCTTTCCACTGGGTAAATAAGCTTGACAATACCTTTTCCAAAAGCGTGATCATCATCTTTCCTTTCAGCGAAACAATTCCCACTCTCAACAGGGCAAAGCCTACTCCTTGGCACTTTCCTTCGATTTATTGTTAATAAAAACAGAAGTGCAAGACGAAACCCAAGAGATTTAAATGCAAACAGATTATTTTCCAGGGGTTCTTCATCACAGGTCCTCGAGTCCTCTGATGCCCACCAGCATGAGATGAACCCCCGTGCCCCTGCGCGTACAGACGTGACGGCGGCGCGTGCACGGGCAGGGGCCGGCACCCAGCCCGCAACACCCCAGCTCCGAGCAGCGAAGCTACAGCCTGTCCTCCATCCCTTTTCCAAATTAAAAGGGTATTGGCGAACTTCTGCCCCCCCTGTCTGCAACCTGCTCTGGGCGAGGCCCTGCGAGCCCCGGGCCATCCGCAGGGCCCGCCCAGGGCCAGCACACAGGGCACGTCACACCCCCGGTGGGGGCAGCGGCAGTGGACTGTCCCCCC